AGGGTATGCGCTCCCCGAGGAGATCTCAGGATAGAAAAACACAAAGTGGCACCCATCAGAGAATGGCCCACACCAAAGAACGTCAAGGACGTCAGAGCATTCCTCGGTTTCGTCAACTTCTACCGACGATTCCTAAAAGGATACAGCAAGACTGCCAATCCTTTGACGAGCCTCACGGTCAAGGAAATAGAGTTCGCATGGAACGAACCCCAAGAAAAGGCATTTCGCCAAATTATCGATGCCGTCCTCAGCGAACCAGTCCTCCGAATGATAGACCCCGAAAAACCCATGGAAGTCGAGACAGATGCCTCCGACTTCGCCATTGGAGGACAGTTAGGACAAAGGGACGACCAAGGACGCCTGCACCCAGTAGCGTTCTTCTCGAAGAAGCTACACGGACCAGAGCTCAATTATCAGATACACGACAAAGAACTCATGGCAATCATCGAAGCCTTCAAAGAATGGAGAACGTATCTCTCCGGAGCACGACACGAAGTCAAGGTCTACACCGACCACAAAAATCTTGCACACTTCACAACGAACAAAGACCTCAACAAACGCCAAATAAGATGGGCAGAATTCCTTTCGGAATTCAACTTCACCATCATCTATCGCAAAGGATCTGAGAATGGCAGGGCAGACATTCTGAGCAGACGCTCAGATCATGAACAAAACACGCCCCCCAACATTAACGCCATCCTGGCGAAAGACAAAGAAGGGAATCTCATCCCTTATCACCGAACGCTGGCAGTCACCACTCGCGTGACACCCGCCAGACCACCTACGGAAGCATTGGAACTAATTCGACAAGTCCACGAAGCCAAGGCCCACGGGCACCAAGGAGTAGCGAAGACCTTCGCTCGACTTAAGAAACACCATAACTTCAAAGGAACCAGACAGGACGTCACAACAGTCATCCGCAACTGCAACCTCTGCAAAAAGAGCAAGGCAGAAAGGCACAGGCCTTATGGAGAACTCAAAGCACTACCAGTACCAACCGCAGCCTGGGAGTCAGTCTCACTGGACTTCATCACCAGCCTGCCACCATCGAAGGAACCCTTAACTGGGACCTCTTACGACAACATCCTAGTAGTCGTCGACCGACTCACCAAGTACTCCTACTTTCTCCCGTATAAAGCCACAGGAACGGCAGAAGACCTCGCCTATGTCTTCCTCAGAAACATTGTAGGACAGCACGGACTCCCAAAAGAACTGGTGTCAGATAGAGACAAGCTCTTCACCAGTAACTTCTGGAAGTCACTCATCGCTCAACTTGGAGCCAAACATAAACTATCCACGGCTTTTCACCCGCAGACAGACGGACAAACGGAAAGAACGAACCAGACTTTGGAGCAGTACCTCCGGTGTTATATCAACTACCAACAGGATGACTGGGTCACATTACTACCCATCGCACAGTTTGCATACAACAGCTCACCAAGCGAGTCCACAAAGGAGTCACCCTTCTATGCCAACTATGGGTACAACCCAACAGCCTACGCGGAACGCCGCGAAGCACCAGACACGCCAAAAGCAACCAACATTGCGGCCAGCATCCGCAAGATCCAGGACCAGATCAAGCTCGACCTCGAGCTCGTACGTACCAGAATGACCACGTACGCCAACAAAACAAGGATGAAGGGACCATCCTTACAGGAGGGAGGTAGCGTCTACCTTATCCGCCGAAACATCAAAACCAAACGACCAAACGACAAATTGGACTTCAAGAAACTAGGACCTTTTAAAATTCTCAAGAAACTCTCGGATACCAACTACCACCTCTCATTGCCAGAGAACATGAAGATTCACCCCGTTTTTCACATAGCACTTTTGGAACCAGCACCACCGAACGCACCACTCGCAACCAGCGTGGAAGTAGAAGACACAAACGAATACGAAGTCGAAAGAATCATCGACTACAGAAAAACGAACAAACAAGACGAATACCTCATCAAATGGAAAAACTATGGGCATGAAGAAAATACATGGGAACCAATCAAGAACCTGAACTGCCCACAGTTGCTGAAGCAGTATCACCAGTCCCAAGGAAATCAAGCGACTCCGGGTCAAAGGAGCCCAAGGCGCTCCAATCAATAACCCCGAAACCCCCAGCCGCTTGCACGGCCACCACGGCCTCAGACTCCTCCCGCTCCGCGGAATCCAACTCGTCCAGAGACTGCAACCCTTGGTTCACCATCTTCACACCCCTCTCATGAAGAGATCGCTTCTGAGTACGAAGGCGCTTCAAACGACTGAGAGCTTCCGCCACTTGAGACTGCAGCTCCTCCAAACGCGCCTCCTCATCCAGCTCCTTCTTGTCCAGCTTGCCTAGCTCCTGGGTGATGCGAGACACTACTATGGGTTAGCGGACTGAGAAAGCGAGAGAGACACCACTACAGGCACTCACGAGCGTTGACGGGCACCCCCGAACCATCGCAGGAGCGACCGCGACGAACGCATTCGGAGCAGCGACTGACGCCCTCCACCATACGACACTTCCAACCCTTCCGTTGGCAGAAGGAACACGGCATGACGTCGTAGCCACGAAGCTCAATAAAATCAAACTGTTCTTGTCGCTTTCGAGCAGACAGGGACTTTGGTTTTTCGACACGACTCGACATTTCGTTAGTATCATGAAGGAAGAACAAGTTGAGGGACATAATTACCTGGGGTGCGGCGCTTACAAGTAAGGGTCGCTGGGACATCGACCTGGAGGAGGAGAATCATGTAACGCCCCAGCCCGGTCGTCACCAGGACACCAGGCAGGACACCCCGCAGGCGATCGGACGCGCCGCACGGACCCACAGGATCACTCACGTGACCGTGACCAGATCACGATTCTCAAAGTGATCCGGTCACTAACCACACCGTGACCCAAGCAACAGGATCACGACAAGAAAGGTGAGCCATCCAACATGGACTCACCAACCCAACACGACAAGGACAGAATGACAGGTATATAAGGACGGGCATTCGGTACTTGTAGATACATTCTTTCTCACGACAGTGATCAATCTAAGTCTTACCTTGTATCCATTGTAACGAGTGCGCAACGCCTTACGACACCACATCGTCTCAGAGTCACAACCTAAGCTTCTGCAAACAGCAACCCTAACCCTCTGACAGTGTTCCCCCTTCGGAAGCTGCCAGGTCGTAACAAATAGCTTCCCAATATAACACCTTTCCTCCCTAGACCTCCAACATATATAATAGACTGACCCTCAGTGGCCACGCGTGGACAAGGCGCTTGGACTACCTCTGGACCTGCGGGGAAAGTGGAGTCGGATTTTAAGCTCTAGCTAATAGGGTATAAGAGAACTTAAACGCTTATTACTATAGAACGGCTCCATGGAATATTATAAAAATTATACCGTTCTATAGCCACGATTTTTCTCTATTTTATAATATATATATCGTTATAGTTTGGCTTTTATTTGAGCTGCTAGAGTAGTTATAAGACTCTAACCCTTATAACTCCTATAATCTATTATCTCCTTCTCGAGATATAATTACTTTCCTCTCTCCTTTATTCTTATCCCTTTATCTATTTATCTCTCTATTATCTCTTTATCCTATAACCTAGAACTACCTTTAGTAATTACTTAAAACCTCCCTTAATAGATACTATATTTAATAGCCTTAATAAGTTAAAGTTAATATAATACCTTATTAATTATTCGCTAATCTATTTACTTTCCCTAATCTAAGCCCTTAGCTTAATACCTTTATAGTTTTTAGAATAAAATCTATTATAATAAATAATTTACTTTTAAGTTTTAATATACTTTAATTAATATATTATTTAGCTTAATTTAATTATAAATTATAGAAGCTAAAGAATAAAAAAGTATTAAGTTAAGGGCTTAGATTAGGGAAAGTAGATAGATTAATAAATAATTAATAAGCTATTATATTAACTTTAATTTATCGAGGTTATTAAGTATAGTCTCGATTTCTCTTTTAAACTTAGGCCTATTATTAAAATATTAGCGATAGTATATATAAGGGTTAAGTTCCTAATACTTACCTCCTTATACTTAGTAATAGTAATAGTAATAGTAGGAGGAGGAGGAGGAGCTTCTTAAATAGTTTAATTCTATTAATTTCATAATTTATATAAAGCTAGGCTTTAATATTAATATATAAATACTATTATATAATCTATTATTTCATTTTTAGATAATTATAATACCTATTTTTTACTATAAATAATATTCCTATTAAGAGGGCTTTACTATTTATATTAACCCTAATTTAGTACTTTGGCTATGCCTGCGAGCTCTAAATAGGCAGGGTAGGTTATATAAGACTTATAATATGATTGATGCTCTCTCTCTGAATTACTATTACCTACATGAGTTAGATATACCTATTTGATTCACTGATCACGTAAGCCGTGATTCACGTGCTCCTAAGAGCTATGAATCCTAGATATCACTATCCTAATCACCGCCCTAGGGAATCCCCTTATATTAGTTCAATAATCTATACATATTATCTATAATATAAGTATAGCGAGACCTTAGGGGGCTTAGGGGCTTACTTTTATAGCTAATAGTTAATAAGCTATTACTTAATAACCTATTACTTAATAATATAAGTATAGCGAGACCTAGGGGCTTAGGGGCTTACCCCTATAACCTACTACTATAGGGATAATATTCTTCTAATAGTTTAGTTACTTGCTCGCTCTGCTTAGGTCCCTCTATTAAAACTTGTTTTAGGGGCTAGGTATTTTATAAAATATATATAATTTTGTTAGACCTTTATTAATCTATTTACTTTAGAATTTTATTCAAAAGTATATAGTAGTATTAATAAGATAATCAAATTTAAAGTCTCTATCTTATATAAGCATATCATAGGTAAGCCGGCTGCACTTGAGTTCATTTAGATTAGATCTTTATCACGCCACGCGCCATGTCTTGGCTGACACAAGCTGTTCTAACTCGTCTACATCAAGCGCAGCCGTTCCTCATGGTTCAACCCCTTTTCTTCCTGATGCGGCCCTTCAGTTGCATATCCTTCGCGAGAGTGCTCTTTGACTTTCTTCATCATTAATTATTGTTACGTGTTTAATCATGCTATACTGGAAGTATCCCCCCCGGGTCTCTATCCTGACTATCACGGCGCTGGCAGCGTTCTCTTCTCTGTTTGCCTTTTACTACGCGTTATCTCGCGTCACGCCTACTTCCCTAGAACACCACTCGATACCGGAATCGCCCTTGTCGCGCGATGGCCCCAAAATCGCGAAAGTTTCAGTCGCGGCCAATAGGCTAGACAACAGCATGATCCACAGGGCATTACAATCACACCAGGTTCAGAACGAAATGCATGGTTATCATCACTACATTGCAACCAACCAAGCAGTCGGCGACCTCATTGAGAATGAGGCTGACAGACGACCGCAAGGTGCCTGGACAAAACCAGCGTATCTTTTGTCATTAATCGTCGCGGAACTGGAAAAACCCGAGGATGAGAGGCTCGAATGGATATTGTACGTTGTTCTGACATGCTGAAACCCTCCAACTAGAGTACTAACCTAAATCCCCCCAGCTGGTTTGACGCCGACACAGTTGTTGTCAACCCTTCAACTCCTTTAGAAGTGTTTCTGCCTCCAAAGTCAGACGAGGACTTGGCCAGTGTTCATCTCCTGATCGCAGCAAACTGGGATGGACTCAATTCTGGAGCTTTCGCACTCCGCGTCCATCCATGGTCAGTCTCGCTCTTGTCAGCTGTCCTCGCTTATCCTATATACATGTCTGGGAGGATCGGGAAGGATCGCTTTCGCGACCAGAGTGCATTTCAGTACCTGCTTCAAGACGATAAGTCCCCATTGGCCAACTCATACACCAAGGGTAAAGAACATTGGGCCACTGTCCCGATGCGATGGTTCAATGCCCTTCCAGTCAACAACGCGTTCTCCAAGAACGGCCAGGGCTGGCTTTTCGGCAAGAAAATGGAGGGAGCTCTTTTCGACAACGGCACAACGGAGATATACGACGATGGTAACGGCGGGAAAATCCAACCTTGGAAAATCATGCAGGGTGATATGATTGTTCACTTCGCCGGGACGACGGCCGGTGGCACGCGTGACAGTTGGATGGGGCCTTGGCTTGATAGGGTGGAAGCCTTGCTGCCAGAGTGGAACAACGTCACAACACAACATCGGTTGAGGGACGAGACAGACAAGTTCTGGTCTGAAACATCTGCTCGTATATCGTCTGAGAAGGCGATTGCAGATGCGAAGATGAAGCTGGATGCCGAGAAGAAAGCAGCAGCGGACAAGGCCGCTGAGGCCAAAAAAGCAGAGGAGGAAAGGAAGAAGGCGGAAGAAGAGAAGAAGAAGGCAGATGAAGAGAAGCAGTCTATGGATTGATGAATGGTTACGAGTAATGTTCTGGTGCTGCACAAAAAAATACCCATCCTATAGGAGGAGCATGGGAACACCAGTAGACGAGAAGAAGGCTTTCATAGTAACATTTGTATAATCATGAGTATTACATTGCAGCAATGTATTGGAGGAGGTCCAGAGTACTTTCACAGCAGCTGTCATCAAGGGTGACACCAAGGCCAACGTGCAGTGTTCTTCTTTTCCATTTATGAACATGCCACCCCACTGATAACTATTTGTCAACCATCAGTTGCGATGCCTGTGATTTCCTGGCAAAACTTCAGAGGCAGGGCTTACATTTTCCTCATGGCCTTCATTACTAAGTGCACAGTCACTTTTCACTATAAGTGGGTCTTCATACTAAGCTGATCCCGCCAAGTCGTGATGTCGGTTCAGAACCTTGAGGTTGGTTTCAACAAGTCCTGACATAAGAATAGTTATATCCCAGATCCATCATGACTTGGTACAAGCCCAGGCCCTCACTAGTAGGGCGTATTATTCACCAGGCCAAGATTACACGGCAGGGTCAATCCGTCAGTACATCGACAAAAGCTCCCCTCAAACTTGTATATGACCTCTATGAGCCACCCAGTTCGCGAGCTCAAGGACATGACAGTCATCCTATCATCTTTTTACACGGCCTTTTTGGTTCGAAGAAGAACAACAGGAGCATCAGCAAGTGAGTGTGACTATAGGCGTTCTAGCGCTGATCCCTCCATCCCCTAGCGCACACGGCAGACTTTTACTTACACGTGATTGCTATTCTAGGGTGCTCGCTCGCGACCTTGGGCGGTCGGTCTTTGCTCTAGTCCGTCCTCAATAACCTCTCAAAAACCTCCGGCCAGCGCTGATGTATCCAAAGGATCTACGGAATCACGGCGAGTCGCCACATGACCGCCACCACGACTATACCTCTATGGCCTCGGACGTGGCAGGATTCATCATCGACCACAACCTGGATGAGCCCACGATCATTGGCCACTCAATGTTGGTTCTAGCCGATTTCGTCATGACATGGTCGAAGTCCGAGACAGCTGAATGATGTTGATGTTGTACAGGGGCGCCAAGACTGCGATGGCACTTGCTCTGCGGTCACCGAATCTGGTGAGAAACATTATCTCAGTAGATAATGCTCCGGTCGATGCAGTCTTGGAAAGTGGGTTTGGTACCTACGTCGAAGGCATGAAACGTATTGAAAGAGCCGGTGTCATGCGCCAAGCTGAAGCTGATGACATCTTAAAAAACTATGAAGAGGTAATCCATATTCCAGACCCTCTGCGTCATAGCCGCGTCTTTCTCTTCAAGTTCCGTAGACTGAGCGGCCTTTTGGATGCTAACGTTGAATAGTCTTTGCCAGTTCGCCAATTCCTCCTTGCGAACTTGTATCGGCCTCAGCCGAACAAGCCGCAACGATTTCGAGTCCCTCTTGATATCCTTGGTCGCTCCTTAGGGCATATGGCGGATTTTCCCTTCAAGAATCCGGAAGAAACTCGCTTTGAAAAACCTGCGCTCTTCATCAGGGGCACAAGAAGCAAGTACGTGGCCGACGACGTCTTGCCGCTTATCGGGCAATTCTTCCCACGGTTCAGATTGGTAGACGTCGATGCTGGCCACTGGCTCATTTCAGAGAAACCGGAGGCATTCCGCGAAGGTGAAATTTTGCTGCTTCACATGGTCGTGACAGAATCTCTGACTAACAATCTTCTAGCGGTCGTTGACTTCTTAAGTACCTCGAAGTAAGTATCTTGAACGAATTGGTACATATTAGGCCCGCATCCAAAAGGGATATTGGCTGTAGCTTCCATTGCTCCAGCGGCACACCATCCATCTCGGGCATTCCTCCTGTGATGCCAACGAGATTGATGTGTCGTTCGATCACGCATGATATATTGGACTGTGTCCAGACGCAAGGTAGTCGAGGTCATTGGAAACCCCGACTATTGTCGCCAAGAAAGCATTCCACGACCATGGGCACTGAGCGACAATCACATGATCCACGCTTTCGTGATACGCAGCTAAGGAGGGTTTAAGCGTATCAACTGCGCAACACTTGCGGTACGGAATTGCCATCACACAAAGACATAAATACACATACACATACAGGCGAAATGTACTTTGAGTCGCTCACGATACGATGCCCCAGATTCTTGTTTTGTGACCGTTTACCATTTTTCGGTAACCTAGACCCGCAGCCGCCTGTATGGTACGCCATGTGCAACGACTGAAACAAATGCCGAAGCTGATTGTCGGCCAAAAGAAGCCGGAGTCTTCCTGCTGCCGTTTCCGTCTCCGACCATGTCGTCATCATTCTTTACACGTCCTCAAGGACGCGTTCCTTGAACTCCCGCTCGATCTTCTGGCCCTGCTCGTCGGTGACAGACTCGCCGTGAAGAGCCATAAGGGAGCCCAGATCGAACTTGGGGGACTTAAGAAGCTTCACCTTGCGGATATGGACCTGAAAAGGTATTCATGTCAGAAACAGTCTCTGCACAGACAACGCCCGAGTGTCATATACTTACGTTCTGGAGGGGGTAGATGCCCTGGGTCGACTTCTCGATTTCACGGCCAATGACCTCGGGGATTAGCTTGTTGGTGAGCTGGGTCAAGGTACAGGTAGAGGCCTCGCGCTGGATGATCTCAACCATCTTGCGGCGGATGGCGCGAATCTGAGAGGAAGCGGCGTAGGTGGTCTTCTTGACCTGGTTCGGCCTGCGGCGGGTGAAAGCAATGGCGAAGAGTCTGAGGAGGTAGTCGTCGGTGGTCTTGACTGTGACATTGGCCTCAATGAGGGTCTGCCACTTGCGAACAAGAGAGCGAAGCTTGTCGGAGGTGAAGTCGAGGCCGTGGAAGTTGGTCAGGCAGTTCTTGCCCTGGATTTCGTCCACCCTAAGCTTGACCTTGCGGAAAGCGTGGTCCTCGTCCTTCTGGAGGTCGGCGAGAGAGACCTCGAGGATGCGGCCCTTCAGCGCATCGTTGGCGTTCTTGAGACCGGTGGTGCGGTTGACAAGGGTCTTGCCGACGCTACGAGGATTCGAATGTTAGCGATGTGTTCCGTGATTCGATATGGGTTTGGGCCCCAAGGCAAGCTTTGCTCCGTAGCACTCACTCTCGGACGGCGAAGGGGGCAGGCGCCTGGATGAAGAAGTCTTGTCAGTATTTTTCAGGACACGCCCGAGTCGCGGGTGTGGTCTGGGAGTCCGCCTTACCTTGATCTGGTACCAATCCTTGCGAGAGAAGGGGTCGACAGTCTTCTTCTTGAGGCCCTTCTTGCCCTTGGACAATCTCTTGTTCCTGAAAAACAGCGTGCGTTAATGACCTGGTCGTTCCAAAATAGCTCGATCGCGCGCTCTTACTTTCCAACAGCCATCTTGACGGTTTGTCGACTGGCGGATGAACGTTGTGTGGTTGTGAGAGGTTGATGGGAGTGGAGGGGTGAGTTTTCTCGCAAGGGGGATGAAATTCGTTCAGATTGTGTGGACGAATTTCTTAGCGAGCTGGATGTGGATGGTGGCGGGTGAGTAAGCCGACAGGGCATTACTACTGGTTCAAGGGCTGTCCAGTGGGCCACGCAGCCTCTACTGGGTCTCCGAAGCCAACTCCCCGCTGTATGCATACGCGCCATCGCATGTGTAGCGCCACCGTCCAGCAGCGCTTGGCCCAGTACCCCCAGAGAGCCTGGCGCTACCACTATATCCCAACCATGACGAAGTCAAGCCGAAGCATGTCTCGGTGCTTCTGTAGAGTACGATCCTCCCCCTTCCGACTATTCAATCCCAGGTAACGTGTAGCGCATGATCTTATCACGTGTTTTCATAGTGTTATTGCGGGCCAGCCCAAAGCCTTGCGACAACCATGATATCTCCATAAAAGGATTCAGCACGCGATTTGTCTCGTGCATCGCAATATGACAGTGACAAAGCCATATAGCTTCTCAGGGGAACTGGTAGAAAGACCAAGCAAGGCGGGTATACTACTCGCATGCCCAACACTTGATTGTGGAGCTGAAAACCCTCTCAAGCTTTGGGGTTCAGCTTGAACTACCTTAGGTAGGTACGTTACAGGTATCTTGCGACAACACAAGCCAACTCCAATACTCCGCTCCCACGATCCCAGTTCAGTCAACCGCCCTTGAAAAACACAACGCCTCCATCGCGCGGAATGCCAGACCAAATCGCAACCATTGCATCGATTGAGATGCTGTACAAGGTCGTCAGTGCTTCCGCGACCGTCATGATAAAGCCCTCCACTTCTCAGAGTCATCTCTTAATCCGCACTGCTTCATGAGGTGGACACCTGGCATGAACATGGACTGCGACATGATCATATCCTGCCGTCCGCTGGCGCAGAGGTTTTTATCGTGCCTCATTCAAAATGAATCCCATCATTTTTTGTACCGGTGTCGTCTTCGCCGTCCCAGGCGTCAAAATTTGGGAAACTGAAATAACAATCGGAATCTGCAGTGTGACATGTGCCTAGTCAGTCAAAGCTTCGTTTCAAATTTACAATCCTCTTGGGGCGGGCGCGGAATGATCCTACTGACAAGAAGGTGAAGTATCGCTCATCTCCCTGCCTGCCCGGGAGGGCCGTGGCACCGCAACGATTGTCGGGCTACCCGTTGAGACCGTTGCTCCTCGACAGTCGATTCGCTGGGATGTGGGCTCCCGTGTGAAGTCTGCGGTCGGGCTGGAGACCACTACTCGTGTGAGTAGCTCGGTAGCCCTTTGCGAGGACTGTGGCGAAGCGAACGCCCCGCGACTTGCGTTGGACGTGGTGATCGAGGGCTCAGTGACACAAGACCGCAACCTCGGCCGCCGTGGGTGTTCCATACGTGGCGAAGAATCCCTTCGGCCCATTTCGAACATATCTTACGATGCGAGCTTCTTGTCAACTTGGGTGTTCAGAGAGAAATTTCCAGTGCCTTCCTTTCCATCGACATTGGAATATAACAACAAAGGTTGCAAGGGCGGGATCCCATGTCGGTTATCTACACCCGTTCTGGCGCTTCTGTTCATCATAGGGAAGGCATGGGCCAGACGACCGGTGCCTGATGAGATGGCCTGGATATGTGGCTTGCGTTGTATGGATCGGCATACCTCTACCTTGGGCATGCACGCACCAGAATCTGCAGGCCCGGCGTCACCAATGCAGCTCTGCGGGGTTCGGCGGTCTACCGGTGAACATGACATCTGTGTTAGGCCAATCGTCACAACCGCACATGTATTCAAATGTCAGCATGCCGGTCGCGGTGCCGCATTTCTGGGCTCGGGGATTGCCGTACACGTCACAATCGTTCCGCCCAGAACGTTCGTCACCCGGCCTTGGGAGGGTCAGTTCACATGCCCTGCCAATAAGTCCTATTTCTCATGCAAACGGGATGCGCGACGGGGTATGGGCTCTAACGACTTGAATTCATTCGGCCTAACGACACCGCAGATCTTGATAGTAGGAGCGGTACACTTTCCGTGTGCTAGCAGCACGATTGAACGACCTAATGCTTGCTAGCCCGACTTACAAATTACGAGCCGATGCCTGGTACGTTGATGGCCGCGACAAAGACCCATATGCACTCGGGCTTGTCAGGCACACCGCCCGCCCACACGCCCACAAATGCATGCTCTCTTCAAGCGGCTCAGTGATCAATGCTGGCAGGTAATTTAGCAACAATGCCTTGTTTGCAAGGAATTTGCCCTGTGGAGCGGGCTAGGAGTGGATGTGCAACTTACTCTTCCCACAGCCTGCCCTGCACAGCGCTTAGCTCCTCCTCCGTCATTCTCTTTCCTGCGGTGAAGTATCCTAGATGAGGGGGTCAGCACATGGACATAGCAAGCACTGCTTGGTCGCCACTGCAACGAACCTGCGGTGATCTTGGCATCGATCTCGACTCTTGAATCCGCCGGAATCAAGTCCTCTGGTAACTCCACGCGCTCATGGATGGGGATCCTAGAATGTCTCGCGTCAGGTGTTGAGCTTTTGTGATGAGTTAGCCGCTTTGACATACCCTTGACTGACAATTGCATCATGCTTCATGCTAAGGTAGGGAAGACGTTGATTAGTTTGGGCTCAGCGTCTCGTGTTAGTGCGACTCACTTGCTCATGCTGAGCATCCGGTCAATCTTCTTTATACCAAGCCAATGCAGCACATCAGGCATCAGTGCCTGGAAGCGCATGTCTTTCACACCAGCGATATTCTCAGTCCGACGGAAGTAATCAGACGCTCGATCTTCGCCACGCTTGCGAGCATTGTAGACGACTGTAATAATGGTTAGCTCGTTAGGGCGCTTGCAGGTCGTCTATGCAGAGCCAGTGAAGATGACACATACGATACTAAGTCTGTTGTTAGTGAACTCGTCGAACATGGGTGGAAGATCTTCGTCCTAGAAGAGCTTACCTTGGTCACTTCGCCGAGAGCTCTCCCCTCCTTTCGAAAGTAGATGACAACGCCGCTTCCCCCATTCTGGGCTTCCTTGACAGCCTCTTCAATTCCGAATATGAGGTACGGACGACAGGTGCAAATATCCGAGCCAAAAACATCGCTTCCGTTGCACTTGACATATGTCAGCTTCAGGGGAATTGTCGAGGGGTGATAAGTGATGAGACGTACCTCGTCGTGGATGCGTAAAGCTAGTCTGACCGAATCATCGGACATTTTGGCAGGATCTCCGAAGCAGTACACGGTTAGACCGCCTGGCAGATTTAATTAGCAGGGCACTGATGCTCGGAGTTTGTCATCGCCATACCGATCGGAGGCATGAAGACCTTGATGTCATTTCGAGTGATCAACTTTGAAGGCATTAGTCTGCCGTCCTGGGAGACCTGGAGGCGAGATCTCTTGCACTCACCTCCGGATAACTACCACCGGTGTGCTCGAAAAGTGATCTCCGCAATGTACCTTCGTCTAGGCCGAGTCAGCATGTGCAAGCCCGCAACTTCTCACTCGCACCGACTGACCAATGCCGAACCGTTCTGCCACACCTGGTAGGTACCAAACCTTTGTTCGGGTTAATTAGCATCAAACGCTGCAGGAGGGGAATGTGTGGCATGATAGCGTACGGGTTCAACGGCAAACTTGGTGACCGCAAGCTCGCCTTGGTCGTTCAGGCAAACCTTGCCATCTGGAATTCTGCAATCCATATCAGGAACCAACTCTGGACACTGAGGCTTTGCGACTCACAGCCTTCCACTCTTGACGCTCTCGGCGAGCTCGGGAAGCTACACCATCATCAGCAATATACGTAGTAGCTACATTGAAGCCATGACAACCTTCATGTGAGCCTTCGTAATGGCAATGGTAGGACGAATGTCCACTTGATTTGCACGTCAGAATACAACCAGTTCATGAAAGTGTTGGAATGGAGAATGTATTGTGTACCATTTTCGTTCTCGATGGTGTCTTTGAACAGCCAAGGCGCGAGATGTCCCCATGGATCCATGGCTACAATCTTCTTCTCATCTCCCCATTGAGGGAAGGGCCCAATCCGGGAGGCAGGTTCCGTATTGGTGAAGTCCGGTCTGCAATGGTTGCATGATGCCAGTCAGTACAGGGCGTTATCACCGGTCGCACATCTGTCTGGGTGAGATTTGCGCACCTGTGCTCCAAATCAAGCTGCTTGCTTGCTACGGCTAGCGCATAGTATATGGAATAAGAACCACCGCTATAGGCGTATTTGTCAGTCACAGTGATATCAAGAGAAGCCAAGCAGGTCATGACTTACTGGGCTACTTTGAGTCAGCGAACGGATGCACGATCATGGCCACGACGGTATGCTTACCTCCAACGGCTGGATAGAGAAGATGAAGCCAATCGGTCAGTCAAAATAGAGAACGAGGGAGGCTACGCATCTTACCGTTCCGGCGTCTGAGGGTCGAAGACAACCGAGAAACGACGACTGGCCCTCGTATGAGAGGATCAGGGTGTCCCCATTTCAGGGGAAGAGGATCGATGCCACTCTGCTTGGGATACGTGCTGTGGTAATCTTTAGCAGCCGTCGTCTACTAAACGTCCTGAACCCGTGACTTAGCATCGAAAGCACCACCCAACTCACGTTAAGACAATTCGGGAAGTGAAGCCAGATCGCTGCTCAGGCGATGACGGTACGGCAGGTGCTTGCAGTTCAGGACCCTCCGAGTTTGCGACGTGATGTTGCGAGGCCTGCAGATCAGCGACAGCGCTGCTGTCGAGACTCTGATTCAGATCATTCGGACCGGCTGATCGGGCATCGGTGGTTGCTCCGGTGGCCGCCTGCGGGGTTGTACGCGAGAGAGATTCGACGGCGGTGACCAGACTGGCCTGGGTCTGCTGGATCGATTTGAGCGTACTGAGCACGTCGCCCAGACCAACATTGTCAGTTGGGGCCGACGCAGCTGGGTCAGACATGTTGAGTTTGAGTCTTAGAGTTACGTGTCCAGTGCAGAGTTCTTGCTTGGAAAGGGCTTCAGCTCGCGTGTCAATGAGAAGCAGTATAGGTGGAACTGAAAGAATCTGGTTCAATCCTTGTTGAACAGCACAAGTTATATGCGGTGAGGCGAAGGCAGGATGAGTAGTCTAGTCCTGACGCGAGGATGCCCGACTGGTCCTAACAAAGCAGTCTCCAACCAGCAGCACAGTAGACGGGACCAGTACGCCCAGATAAGGCAGCATCATTCATGTACCTAGGTAGCTAGGTACGTATACGAAATGCTGGCAGATAAGTGGAAGGCAGGACGCACCCGGCCGTCGGCATGCGCCGTCGCGGCTGATCCGGACTAGCCAGCTGCTCTCGTGCTCCTCGTGATAGGGACAAGGGGTCAGTTCGCGGCATGGACCCGATCTCACAACAGACCTACAGGAGGCCATGAATGGTCGGTGAGTGGCCCAGCTGCACAAGAGGCGACCAATCGTTGAGAGCGGAGAGACGCGAGCCAACTAAATGTACGTGTTGTCCGAGACACGCTACACGTACAAGAGGAAGGGGGAAAGCAGCCAGGATCGTTGCTCTCGATGTGCATGGGATAGGCCGTGTGCTGGGGCACAGGAGCCGTCGGAGACGCGAAATGCGGGGGACCTGGGTGATAAGACCCTGGCACTGACAGATAAATGCACGGTATGTACCCACAATGAAGGAACCTACCAGCCTACTTAGGTAGGTACCTTAACATGGGAGGTAATCTGTGCCTCCAAGTGGTGTGCTTTCGGTGCCAAATCAGGTACCCAGATAGGACCCTATCCATGTCGGGTTCCTCTGTCGGAGGCGGACCAGAAGCCCCATTGCGCCACATGCGTTTATCTGCCAGAGTTGATGAGGCAGCTCCCTCAGGCAGGTACTTTTAGGTACTGATTTCGAGACAGTAATCCTCTCTATACTGCCACCAACGTCAGTACCTCCTGGGTAGGTGGACATTCTTTGTCCATGCGGGCCGGGACACCACAGTTGCTGGCCGAAATGCTTACATACCTTATGTGAATAGGGAGGTAGGTACCTGAGAGGTACCTTACTTCTTGATACCTTAGTACCAAGTATCCCGAGCAAATCGGGGTTCCCTGCAGTCCTTGTGCACACCGCCTACACTCACGTGCAGCCATGCACCGTGCACACCCGCCAATGACGATGACTATTTCTGCCGCCACTCTCATGGCTCAGGCGGGCAGGTTGCAGTGTGCCCCACAAGAATTTGCTTTGCGAGACGATCGAGAGGTGCTGCTCTGGGAGGTATCATCAGCCTCAAGGAACCTCTTCTGCACGACAACGACGACATCACGACCTGCCATCCATCGCACAGACAAGGCCGCAACACCATTATTCAGTCGCAGGAAACGCCAGTGAGCCTGCCTTAAGTCCACAGCTCAAGAATAACGCCAGCGCATACCCCGGGGATCTACGAACCAAAGTCAACACAGGAATCTTTGTTAATTCCAACCAGATCCGATACAACATGGGCAAAAGAAAAAGCTCCAGCAAGCCGCAGGGACCCAAAAAGGTTCGTCACCCTGTGTATATCCTTTTGAGCATCGAGCAAGACGCTTCACGCGCCATCTTGCCCCCCCCGCCCCCCCGTTCAGTAACCATCATTGCCTTTGATGCAGACCATGCACGGGTAGACCTCTGCGTACGCTTGCTAATGATTATGCAGAAAGATCCCCTCCCTGAACTATTCCCTTGTCTTTTCTGTAACCATGAAGATGCTGTGAAGCCAAAGGTTGACAAGAAAAGTGGCGTGGGCAACCTATCCTGCAAAGTGTGCGGACAGACATTCCAATGCAGTATCAACTATCTCTCAGCACCTGTCGACGTCTATTCCGAGTGGGTAGATGCTGCTGGTAAGCTATATAGTCACCTGTAAATCTTGCGCAAATGGGAGGCTGACGTAACCCAGACCACGTCTCGTCCAAGCAGAAGGCCGCTGCAAGTGGGTTGTCACAGGGCTTGGGCACCAGGCGAATGGAGAGGCCTATCGAAGAACGAGACGACGAAGGAATTGTGGCGGACGATGATGAATACTAATATGAGTGTGCGGGATCCGGATGGTCGATGAAGCGTTCGCAAAGCGTGACACACGCCGTAAGGGACACCTGTAAGACATCACGAGATTATGAGACCGGAAATGGGACTGGCAAATCTGAATTCGATGCGCATTAGAAGAATACGAGCAAAGGTGATGGCAGCCGAGCACCGGTAGTATGCGTTCTTCTACATGGTATAAAACCTGTCGCCAAAGTCGCCCAGTCCTGGCACGATGTAGCTGTTCACACGAGTCAGCAAGATGACGATTGGAACACTGGGGCAGGGCAACAAACTTCTTCTCATCAAGTCCCTGTACATTGTTAGCATAAATGCTGTTAAGAATGCAGAAGTCGTGCGCATAACGCGACGCAATAGCGGGCTCACCTCATCGACGAAGGCTGTTACAACACGAAGCTTAGGAAACTTGGAGGTGAATGCCCTAACACCTTCCGGGCTGGCTATTAGGTTAAGGAACAGGATCCGTTCCTCCAGTACGCCACGGGACTTTAGCACCTCCACAGCCATGATGGCAGAGCCGCCTGATGTAGCATATAAGCAATGCGCAACAATAGCCAGCGGGATACCAAATACATACCTGTTGCGAACATGGGGTCCAGGAGCATAACCCACCGTTGTGCAATATCCTCTGGGAGCTTGTCGTAGAAAAGCCTTGGCTGAGCAGTTTCTTCATCACGCTGGATTAAGATCTTGCCGATCCGGACAGATCGGCAACAATCCCGCAATCCCTGTTCCATAGCCTCGCCAGCTCGCATGATTGAAACACCACAAATCTTTCCTTGGAACAGGAGACCTGAATACGTCCGTCCAATGGGCGTAGTAACATCATGTTCAATGGTAGGTAGATGGTTCAATCCCTCCTCAACAAGCAAGCGGATGATACGATTAGAGTAAAAGATAAAGTCACCACGTTCCGTGTTCCTGTCGCGAATGATCCTGCGACAGACTGTCAGTAGATTACCAGAAGACAATGGGTATTAATGATTGAGTAACGAAGTTATGATTGGGAGGGAAACCCCACTTACGTGAGAAGAGCGATAAGCTGAGGGGTCTGAGGTAGGATGTGAACGTTATCGAGGTTCATCTCCGTAGAGACAGTCGCGGATGGTTTCTGGCTTTCGGAACGATACAAAGGGCCAACACACTGCACTGCGCCTGATGGCTTCTGCAGCTTGGCTGGTTGAGATGCCATTATTTGAGAGCGACTGGTCCGTCTAGAAAGTAGTAAATGTACGTGGAACGATTTGTGAGGGGGCCGATGCCAGTAAGGCGCATATGTTGCGGAAGTAATGCTTTATATATATAGAAAAGGGCGTACCTCACCGGTCAGTGCTCTCGACTTTCCTCATGAACGCGGACGAGTGGGACGCGGGGGGAGGAGCTCTTATCTTGCGCTCGTCTCTTAAGATAAGGGCCAACGTGCGCCTCGACCTCAACGATGTACATGGTAGGTACCCGGAAATGAGCTAGGCCTGAACGAGTACCTAGGTACCTACCCTTGCTACCTACCTACCTAGGTAGGTACCTAAGGTACCTAGGTTGGTGTCCGAAAGAGCCCCTCACTCCCAGCCCCGCCGACGGGATTGGCCAAGGCCCCTCTAAACCCGTCTACCCCTCTCCCCACGCGGCCGGCGCCGAAGACCTGTGATCCTACTATTCGCAAGAAGGGGGATGCTCGGGTCCTGACGATAGAAACCGTTTCCTGACTCAAAAGAGAATGGATGCGGCTCAAGCTCGCTGGCAAATACTGTAAGCTCGAACAGGACGAGCAAGTCCTAATCGCACAGCTATCGTTGCCGCTGTCTGACAGAACAGCTTGTCCAGGCGAGGCCTAGTGGGGTGTACATATCAAGCAGCACGTGCCAGCTCCCGCCCCAGACATACTGGACGCCCATCAACGCGACTACGGGGTGGCGCAATCCCAAGCGCGAGGCGTGTGGTGACCCTGCTCTCGATTCCGCAACAACTTTACCGGAACATGTTTATCATCTTCGTTTCTCAGTCGTTTTGGCCGGCACCATCAGGATGTTTCCAACCCCTCTCATGAGGTGAACCTGTCTTGTCACCGCGCCCCTAGCAGATAAGCATCAATCTGTACCTAACTAGAAACCCCTTCTGGCACACATTGCAACTGCCCATACGTGGGCTCTCCATCGGAAACCATCAACAACCAGCCTGCGCAACCCGCTCCGTCAGCAGAACGACAGGCAGCTATCACCAACTACTTTACTGATCGATTCATGTGAAGAAAAACATTGGATATGGCGACACCCGACGCGACAGGCAGCGTAAGGAAGAAACTTACGACGTACGGAAAGACCTCTCGGAAGTCCTCAAAGCCTGTATTTTCCCTGAGCGCATCGTCTGACCGTACACAAGTTGTTGCGGTACCTCTGGAAGAAGTACCTCAACGGTCCACTACAACAGCTGTGGCGAGAGAGGCTACCAAAGACAACGACAAGGCTGCAAGACCATTGAGAGGCAGCCAAAGAGCGGATGCATCACTGTCATCCATAACACAGCACGATGCGTCCCAAAAGCTGCCTGGTGCAGCTGTGAAACCAGGGAATAAAAAGAGAGCTTCACCAGACACTTACGGAGTACTCACCCAAGCGCCAACATCTAATGCGACACGACGATCACCAGGCGTCCCGATGAAGGATCCTCCAGCATCTGAACGCCTACTCCAAGCCGAACGAACACAGGCGGCTTCCATCAACAGGAAGGTTCGTCTCATCGACCGATTAGTCGCGCAAGCTATCGACAGTGCCGAACTCGATTCTGAACAGGCCAATCAACCGTCCGATAGTTTGGAGGGGTATACCGGGCAGGCATTGGTGGCAAGCGAAAGCAACAGCACGACACCAAGAAAAAGCCAGGATGATGTTCCAAGACTAGGAGCGCAACGAGCGACACCCGACTCGAGGAAACGCAAGGCTAGGGTTACGTATGGACAGCAGCGGACCATGCGCACCGCAGTCGATGTGATGCAAGAAGGAGCTGGAACTGCGAATCGTCCTCACGAGGGGAGCTATGACCGCAATTCCCCACCTCCCGCAAAATTCGCCAAGATGGACCCGTTCTCACTATACGACGACCCATCGGACGACGATGTACGACCAAGCAAGAACGGTATTCTCAGCCTTCATGCACTGAGACAGGCTGGCGCAAACCATCGTTTTGCAGATGAGTTGAGTGACTTGGCGGAAAGGATAGGATCTCCTAAGTCGCTGCAACCCGCATCGACACGCTCGAGGAGAACTGCAATTTTAGAGCTCGGCGCAAAACTCCAGGACGACAAATTCGTTGGCCGCTTGTGTGATTATGGCCCAAAAGAGACATTCTTCCAAGATCTTGAAGCAGAGGAGGACATCATCAATGCGTTCGTTATATTGTCCTCTGCTCTTATCCTCATGGCATCGTTATCAGCACCTCATCTCATCGACCATCTGTTATCGAGTGGTGTGACTCGAATACTGTCCACGATGTTGGCCTTGGACGATGACATCATGGAGATTGCGAGACAAAAGGCAGCCAATCTTTCGAAACGCGGTCTTGCTTCCATGGGAATGTTGCGCGGTACGATATTGCAGCTTGGGGTATGGGACGGCTCCCCCCCTGCTGTTCTGTCCCCCAAAACTCTGGCTCTTAAAGTTCTGTGCTTCTGCCACAAGTCATCTGATGCAGAGGCTCGACTGCACTTAGTTGAGCCTGTAGTCCCTCGCCTATTTGCCCTGATCAGCAAGAATGATGGCGACTTGTCTCTGGCTACAGTGGACGACCGCATACAGGTTAACATGGCTCTTCTGCTACTACAAGAGCACTCCGTCGTAGCTATGGAGTCAAAGATGAGCCAACGATGGACCACAGAATACCTTCCCACCGTAGCCCTCTTCTTATCTGGTCTGCTTACATCACCGGGGGACGACTTCCGAGAGTCGAGGTATCTGACTCTCAAGCTTGCCATGAACACAACCAATAACAACCCAATATCGGCCTCCATTTTCGGACAGGGTCGCTTGATACGCCAATTAGCGACTGCGAGCCTCTCGCGCTTCCACAAGCTACACGCAATCGTCGGCCGTGGGGAGTTTCCGACAGATGTTCACAGAACGCTCGTATTGCTGCTAGGGCTGCTAATCAATATTGCTGAGCACTGCCCTGAGAGTCGGCAGTCTCTGGCTGCCGAGATAGACCTCCGGCCCTCATCACTGGATGGGCTCGTAACGGTCTGGTTGGAAAACCGCGAGTTATGTGGGAAGGTATGTATTCACTGTCACCTTCACTTTAACTTCATAGCTAAGAAAGCGACAGGCCGAAACCGTTGAGCAGACCTCTCTTGCTGTAGCCTATGGCTATCTCGCTATTCTGTTAGGATATCTGTGTCTAGAGGCTCGTGTGCGCCAACGCCTGACAAGCCAGAGCAACAAGAAAGGATTGAGCTACCTGCTGGACTCGGTACAAGAATTCATGACCCTTCACGCAAGAGCGGCTGGTGATGATCTCGCCGCTACCTTACAACCCCTTGTCAATGAATTACGACTCATGATGAAGAGAAGTTGAGTTAAGGGTGTCTCTCGTCTCTTGCACCACAACCGCGCATCACTGTATTGCCCATCTTTGCGCCACATATACAGTTTACTTATACACATGAGTTCAGCAAGTCAGCTGTCGAGGGGTCGGTGTGGAGGATATGGGTTATTGGACAATAAAGTTGCAGGATGAGAGACACATGTAGCGCTTTCGTTGATATACTGTGCCAGTGATTCGAATCAAGTGGGCTATAAAATTCTTGTTCGCATCCTCTGCTACCTCATTCATCTGTCACATATACCCGATTTACCTGCATAATGAAGGCTCAGACAAACCATGCAACCCATACAGCCTGGCCCATTCTACAGGGTTGGCGGGTTGGAAAGAGAGAGATGTCCGACCAGTCCATAGACATAACATGCCAAAAGGTCGTTCGCTTTGCCACATAAAGCGGCTTGATGTCTTCACATAGTCACGTAATTGACCACCCAGTTACCATCCCCAAATTTAAGGCAAGTAAGGTACCGAGGCGGTAACATATCGCCGTGGTATGCCCTCAACCACCTCCCGGCAAGTTATGGGACAATCACCCCCGAGATGAAGACGTGGAAATAGCTCTTCTTGTGTTGAGTGTGATTCTGAACGAGACAGGTCTACAGGCCTTTGTTGAAGAATGAGGTGTGTTTGTTGACCAGCCCCTCCGAGGCTGTCTCCCACGAACCCCGCCTGGGGTGGGCTGCAATTGCCCACTTATCTTATCAGCCAGCCATTGGATCATGCCTGGACTAGAGCCCGCCTCCCCGTCGTCATGCCCCTCGACCTGCATCATCATCTCTCGCTCACTCCCTGCGAACCGACTGCGCGATCGGCCTCCAGTGAATAGAACAAGAAACAAAACAACGATACACGAGTCCCTGATATCCAATGCCGGCCCCAAAGAACAGAAAAGTTGCCATTGTTGGCAGTCGCTCTGTCGGTGCGTTTTGCACCTTGCCCCCAATCGCCCTCAATGCGGGCTATAGGACAACCGAATCTTGGTTGCAAGCCGCTGGATCTGGGCTAACCTTGGGTTCGCAGGCAAATCTTCCCTGGCTGTGCAATTTGTCGATGGCCACTTCGTCGACAGCTACTATCCGACTATCGAGAATACTTTTAGCAAGACCATCAAGTACAAGGGCCAGGAGTTTGCGACGGAAATTGTTGACACCGCCGGTCAAGTATGGCGCCCTCACTGCAGAAGGCCAACCTACTACTTTGCTGGCGTACGCTGACCATAAACCTTTCGGTTGCTAGGACGAGTACAGCATTTTGAACTCGAAACACTTCATCGGCATTCATGGATATATGCTCGTATACTCGGTATCATCTTTGCCTTCTTTCGAGATGGTGCAAGTGATCCGCGACAAAATTCTCAATCACTTGGTATGTTACAAAGCTTGACAGACACTGTCAAGAGACAACCAAGTACCAAGGACTGCTGTTGATACTTGAGTTCTCAGGGAACCGATTCCGTGCCGATCGTTATGGTTGGTAACAAAAGCGATTTACGCCCGGAGCAGCGACAAGTTAGCGCTGAAGAGGGCAAGAGGGTTTCTGAACGTATCCAGTGTGGTTGGACCGAGGCCAGCGCTCGATACAACGAAAATGTTGATCAAGCCTTTGAGCTACTGATTGCGCAGATCGAGAAAGCCCAGAACCCGAACGAAGCTGCCGAAGCTGGCAAATGTGCATTGATGTAGGAGATGCAGCGAACACACCCAATGACGGTGGAGATGCTCACATAGCCTCCCCGCCCGCAGCAACTTTTGTGTTGGCTTCTGGCGTCCTTATAACTCACATGTCGCGTCTGAGGATCGGCCTCTAAGCGCGAGCAGTGTGTTTGTGCTTCGCCCAAGGACCCGTCCACTGGTGCGGTACTCTACCCCTCCGATGGCCAGAGACATGTCGCAACAAGAACGCGCGGCCAAGCCAGGGAACGAAACTGGATGACATTTCATTGTTGCTGAAGGGTCATGCCTCGTCTCCTTATCGCGCCGTTTGGGGCTCTTGGGCGCCCGTGGTGCGCGGGGTAGATATACGCACATGCCAGTCTGCATCCCTTTATGCACGTTTATGCTTCGGAGTCTTTCTTGGAGCTATTTAACTTATGATTCCGATAGTAAGCCGACTTGGAAAACATCGAGCTACTCTTTGTGTAGTGTGTCGGCGACGGATGCAGGGCATATGAGGCACAGCAGCCTGAGATGCATATGGTTGGTACACCTGTCAGTGGGACGCGTTTGGCGACTTCGATCAATATCAACATTTATAGGTATTAGCTGTTCTCATTCAAAGCTACCGCGACATTTCAGCTTGTTCGCCTCTATCGATGCCGTTGTGTCATTATTTGTACTTATCATCCCGCATTTTCATGAACCTTCCTCCACGAAACGTCTCGTGTATACGTGAGTGTGAAGCGTCCAAAGTCATGCATGTATGGCTTGCAGTCTCGGTGTGTTGTCGTCTGGAAGACATGGGTGTACTAGGATCGGTTCGTAGAGTGTAATTGCTTCCTGAAGGATGCGACGCTGGAACCTTAGCTGGCCGTGAACCAATGTTACTCTTTGGGTTATCGACCTTGTCATCACAATTTGGAATCAACAGCTTCAGAAGCGCCAATATGCGACCCTGTATCCACTCACTTTTCCACGGCGTCAAGACTCAGCAGGCTGGCGGAGATGTCGCCGAAACCAACGGGGAAGCGAGCCTCTAATTTTAGTGACCAACCGCTGAGCGTCATCCCGCTGACCGACAAAGAGCCGTCACGCCAACAAACACGACCACTCAAAGACAACGAGTTTCCCAAGACTCGTCTTCTCACCCGACAGGCTACTCAGCGCCGACAACCTCCATGCTCTCGTTACTCTCAAGTCAGACGTTGAATCTATTCCGATGCGTTGGGGGCAATTGATGTCTGTGTCGCGGCGCCAGGCTGAGCCCAAAACCAGGGCGACAGCACAAGATAACAACATGCGTAGAAGACTAGTGGCACGGTAGACTCTATCGTTTTGCGCGTCGAAGTTTTGAGCTAATGATGACCTCAAGAGAACGAACCTTGGGAGGCATGCGCACGAAGATTCGATGCCGGACTGGCTCGCCGCCTTGCTCCGTACCAAGGGTGAGATCAAGACTGAAGGTATGCACTCCGGCGTGAAAAGCAACATGGAACAAGGGGAGTAGAAGAGGACATCGCTGAAATCACATGGAAGGCGTTGTTCCTGTTTTGAAACAACTGCTCGAACAGAACAACACAACCAAATATGCCTACTTGTGCCATGAATCTGTGCAGCACATTTCCAAGCTCAAATTAGAAGGTTGTTAAGTCAACCTACACCTGTATCGCCTGTCGATATATAAGACTGACTGGCAAACCAGGGGGATTCTGCGGTTATCGTAACATCCAGATGCTCATCTCGTATATCATTGCGACAGGTTTCGAAGGCCAGGAGCACTTTCAAGGAAGGCTTCCTACCATCTTTGAGATACAAGACTTCATCGAGAACGCTTGGGACCGTGGAATTAACGTCCAGGGTCGGGTTGAGACAGGTGGTATACGAGGAACTCGCAAGTACATAGGAACAGCGGAAGTATGTCGTCAGTCCCTGGCATGGTCATCTGCATGCTAATGGTTTCCAAGGCACAAGCGTTGTGTAGGAGCTTGGCAATACCGTCAGTAATCCAGATATCTTGACCGCATTGGCTAACGGTTAAAAAGCTGCACTGCCCAAGCCTTCTCAGACAAGAAAGCTGGCGAGTCGGAGGCTCGCCTTCTAGAGGCTATTGAGACGTATTTCCAAACGGGTGCGTCGTTAGGTGCCTCGAAAGTTGTGTGCACCACTCTTGCACCCGTCTATTTCCAACATGCAGGCAAGTCAACCCTGATTGCTGTCTGGGGTATGGTCTAACTCGAATGCCCCATAGGACATTCGATGACAATTATTGGATTTGAAAGGCGAAAGCATGGAACTGCCAATCTTCTAGTATTTGATCCATCTCATCGCGACACATCAGCCATTCGTCGCTTGATAGGAACAACCTTTGGACAAAAAACACCTGACAGTGCTCTGGAGACCTATCGTCGGGGGCATAAATACCTCCGTCGATTTCGAGAATACGAACTTCTCAGGTGAGCTGACATCCGAAGCCGGTCCAATTTTCAGGCTGCTGGTTGCTAAGAATGACGGCCAGGCTCGACAAAACCCATAGCCCAGATCGTTTCACCCCAAGAAAGTGAAAGTGCTTTGTAAGGCGAACCGCCTGCGAGGGCCAGAGACGACCAAGCTCTCCTCCTTGTCATTAGGCCACTTGCTGTTCAGAGAACCATTGCTGCAATTTGGACAATGCCAGGCCTCGGTGCGAAATCTTGTTCTTCGCGGCCTTGTCCATTTCTGCGTAGCTGCTATGACTTAGTTATGCACAGTTTAGGGTGTTTAAGGTTCCATACGTCTTGCCGTCATATTCGAAAATGGCATCCCAACCTGGTTCACAACAGTCGAGGTTAACTGAGTCTACTTTCAGAGAACTGGGCACCAGGGGCGTGCACTAACCAAAGTCTGGCGGGCCTCTAGGTTGCACAATGGTACCCTGTGACAATATCGTCAGCAGATAGAAGGCACATGTCGCCAGGCGCTCATCTCACTCTTGTGCGGCCTTGAAAAAGGATGGGCTTCTGGCCTGGGCCAGGTGAATATGCAAATGTACACACGGCATCGGCCGACTTATCATCGTATGCGGCGAGAAGATTATTCAAGCCTTGATGTCCAATGGACTGCATGAACCACTTGCTTGCGGCGTGTCAGTTGGACGCTGCTCGCTTGTTCGACACGTAGAAGAAAGAGCAAGTGTACTTACATGTAGGGTCCTGGCAGGTCTCCGAGAGATTTGAAGCACAAACACGTATCTTCCACAAGAACAGGGCCGTTGACCTGTGCATCGAGCGTCAGCAGACGAAATTGGACCGTGGGAACATCACAGAGGCCTTGTGCACCATTTCAGCAGCCTTGCGACATTTGGCTTCGGTCACTTCCTCTACTGTCCCTTGCACTTCTTCGAGATCTATTGCTTGACTTCGCACCGTTATGGCCGGCTCGAGAATTGCCTTGACTTCGCGCAGCTTATTCGCATTGCCAGTGATAAAGTTGACAACAGGAGGGGCTGCCATGACGAGCTAAGCTTGAGTCGGCTGGGCAATGTGTGCGTGCGTGCTATTCTGCAATGTAAGCCAACAAGTCTTTTGTCGATTTTGCTTCACGATTAGAGTGGCACAGAGGTCTGTTCTCGGTGGAAATATGTGGATGGGGGCTGTGGATGGTGGGTCCGCACACTGTTAGGTGGGGGGAAGGAGGGGGCCGCCTGTGGTGTCCGTCGACGGCGAGGGGTGGATGTTGTGCGTCTACGTTTCGGACAACAAAAGACTTGTTTGCTTGTAGCAAGTGTCAAGCTGGCGTTGTCCTCTGATCAGGTCGGGATCCAACATCAGGGCCAGGCCTCGATGTGACTTATTCGGACATTATCTTTCGAGCTATCGGGCAGATACTTGCTGACCTCGGCGGCTCTCCGTACCTGGTCTTCACTCATGAGAGATCAACCACGACCAACAGCAGGCTGTGATGCTCACACTCGTTGCTGATCTTTCTTCCACTGCTCCAGCCAACCTATAACTCTTTCCACGTTGCTCTCCATCTCCTCGGCCGTGTTACTCGTCAGCTCTACTACGATTTGCTCGTCAAAGCCCTCTCTCGCCTCTGACAACAAGACCTCCATAATCTCGGAGTCTAGGTTCTCTTGCAGTTTAGCCTCGGCATAATTCCTATTGATCTCATGTCAGTGGTTCAAGAGCACCAGTAATGTCAAAATCGAGATTCATCCCTACCTTGCTTTGAGGCGGTCGTAAAGCGTGCTGGAGTCGACGCGGAGAACAACCACTAGGTCAATCCAACTCTCAGGGAAAAGATCGCAGGCGTGCCAGTCGAGAATGAAACCGCCGCCAGGCACCTCATCCTCGAGTGCATCAAGTAACTGATCAAATCTGATCAATAAAACACCTTATGTAAACAATGACTGCATCAGCAACTTACCTTGTCCTCATCGACAATGGCGCAGGACCGTTCATCGTCCCAGCCATCCTGGCATTCTTTGTCCTTAACAATTTGGTTGATCGCAAGATGTTTCAGGCCCGTCCGTCTTGCAAGTTCCTCGCAGTGTGTCGTCTTGCCAACGCCCGGCGTGCCGGTTACAATAATGTTGGGAGAGGTTCTCGCCATTGAAAGTCAATCGTTTGAGTGTAACTAAGCACGAGTTGTTATTGGCATGCATGTATACTCGGCTGGCCAGGGTGTATGGTGATTGTAAAAACCTGGAGACTGGGTCAGTCTATTCGACTTTTTTTCTGACGCGCCATAGAATGACCCGCTTTTCGCGTGCCTGGCCTCTCATTCTCATCTAGACTGTCGCAGCGGCATCAATCTCAGGGCCGTATGCGCCTTCGTCCATATGGCCCGAAATGTCGCTGCAAGATACAAATGCCACCTTTCAAGCTTTTCATCATGAACGATTGGTTCGTCGAACTGCTGGCGTTTCGGGATGGGCAATGTTTGGCAATCCCTGTCACCGCGTGGTTTTGCGTCGCACAGGTGTGCGGGAGAGACCATTCAGAGCGCGTTCCGGAAACGATGTGAGAAGGTTGTTAAAATACTGGCCGGCAGGTTCATGCAGAAGTAACGTGGACGATAGTAAACTCTCTAATTCGAGACCACAACGAAGACGCTGCAGAGGCTCTCTAACGCCAGACCACAGGCATTGGTGATGGCACCTCGTCCCGAACACAAAGCGGTGATATCCTTGATAGCACGAGACACCCATAGATCCCTCATCCACACGTTGTCAATTATACACGATGATCCCAAATACACGGCATACATGGCGACAGCGTAACACAGACCTCCAGGCGAATGACAGGATGCAAAGCACGGCGAATGCTGGCCTGTCCGCAGGATGGTTGCCGCATCATTGAGACCTGGGCTGGTAACCTTCACCGAACCCCAAGTCAAGAGTCGTAGTTGTGCGCATGTCTCAAGCCGAAAGACGCTTGGACGCAAATTCGTGTTCATCCTCATCCACCTCGGCAAGATCGTCATTGTTGCCGAAGCCATCGTCATCAGGCCCGTACTCGAGCTTCTCCTGTTGTGCGATAGCCTGTGCAGACACGATCTCTGCGAGACGTTTCAGCCGAGGCGTCTGTAGCCCTGTGTAGCAATACACGTTAGCTATGGATCTGGCGAGCTAGGTGGCACTGAAGAGCGATATTCAACGTACATGAAGGAGTATAGGTCTCCAGTGCTGTGATTGCCCTAGGTTCCGCGATTTCATATGGGCCGCTGTCATCCATGTCGACAGCTTGAAGCAGCAGCACATCGCTCTTCTCAGTCACACGAGAGGCAACGGCTTTCATGATTTCGCCGTTGATAGGTTGTTCATAATCGGCAACGAGGTATTGGTTCAGCAGCTTCTGAATCTGGTTTGGGGATAGCCTAGTACGTAGATAGTGAGCCGGGGTTTGCGCGACCAGTGGTTGCGCGCCTGTACTTACATCCAGCAGATATCTTGAATAATCTCAATGTCGTTCAACGTCGCCTTCTTGAGTTGCAAGAGTTTTGTAGCTTGCTGTGTATACAATTAGAACCGTGGTGCGCGCTGTTGAGTGGAATTCGCGAACGGGCTTACCATGAGATGTTCCAGCTGAAGGGTACCTTCGGGCATGTCGTGACTCTTGCACCACTCCTCAATCCGAGTGATATTGTAGTTGATCTGCAGACCGCGCTTCCATGACAGAAAGTTACGCCGCATAAGGAGGTCATTGAACGCGGTAACGCCAACTAATCGAAGGAGTTCAGTAATGGTCTGTGTGATGATCGAGTCCTCCAGGTAGTAAGCCTTCATCGCCCTGAAGACATTGTTGAGGAGGCTCAGAAGATTGTCCATGCTGTACGCCGGTGTCGAGTTCGACTGGAGCAGCTTGCCGAGGAAGCGGCTGCTTTCGTTGGTCACGAATCCTGGCAAAGACTGTGACTCGATGATGGCTGGAATAATCATTTTGTGCAACTTCTTCTTGAGCACCTTCATCCATGTGTGGTAGATGTTGAACTCCAGACTCTCCAGATCATGCTTGACGATCTCAAGCAGGCGGTCATACTCGTAATTGTCCGACTTCTGTGCTTCATACCAGTCTTCAGCCAGGAAGACAAAAGACAGCATTTCGTGCACGTTTGAGAGCCAGAAGGCGCCTGGGTTGATCGCCTCATCGCCATCGTGCTGCATCACCTCCTGCTGGATCGACTGCATGACATTGGCCAAGAAGCGTTCCGACTCCTTCACAAAGCCGTTGTTCCACATCTCTGAGGTGACTAGGTTGATGAGGTACGACGGGAAAAGGACCTCCTTGTCAGAAGGGGGTGGGTTGGTGTTCGGTGACGGTATCTTGAGGTTGCGGATCAATCCCATCGTAACCTCTTCGTTAAGGCCATCCTCATCAGCCAGAAGAGTTTCGAGCTCCATTTCGATGTTCTCGACACCAGGCATGAAGCCTGCACCGCCGGCATTTTGTCGGTGTGCAATGCTCGTAACCGCCATTGAAACAGGACGCGGGTTGTATGCGGCACTAAAGCGGTCCAGCTCGCGAGGCTCAGCACCTGCACTCCTGCGCTTTGGCTTCTTGGAGGACACGAGGTTGATCAAGCCGTTGGCAGCGGGGAGAGCAGGTGCCGTACCGTTGCTCACTTCACCGTTAGCGGGCGCCATCCTCCTAGCAAGCTCCAGTTGATCTTGTAGCTCTGATAGTTGCTGGCGAAGTGACGACTTCTCCTCGTCAATCTGTACGCTTTGCTGCCGCACGCTTTCCAGCTCCGTGTTGGTCGTACGCAGAGACTCCCTGAGCTCCCTCTCCTCTTCCTGCATACGCTTGATGTTGGCTGTTGACTCTTCGAAACTTTGTTGCAGCTTCTTCATCTCATCCTCCATCGCCTGGAGACGAGCAACTGCGATACCGGCCTGGTTGGCCTCAGTCTGGAGCTCTTTGGTGCGTGTCTCTAGAGCGTTGTGTCGGTTCTTCCAAGCTTTGATCTGCCCCTCATAATTCTCCACTTGTGACACAAGAGTCTTGTTTTGTGCCTTCATGGAGCCCAAGGACTGGGTCAGCTCGACCACCTTGTTCTCAAGCTTGTAGGAAATTTGCTTGAGGTCGCGAGCCTCCTCACGAATCTTCTTATACTCGTGCCTGGCCAGCTTACCACGCCAAAGGCTCTGAATAAGCGTAACCTTCTTGCGGTACTGCCGCCAAGATCGCAGCTGGCGTCGCGATCGCCACACGCGTTGAATGAGGACGGCTGCGTTCCCGACTCGTGTCTCCATGATTTCGCGGCGGCGCAGGTAGCCCTTGGCCGCTGCCTGGGCAAGAACCACATGGTTTCTAATGCGGAGGAACTGCTTTCTCTGTTTCTGGCCCCGCCACACCCGTTGAATCGTCGTTGCGGCCTTGATCGTACGCAGTTGTTGCGCAGTCTTGCGGGCCAAGTAGGCCCGGGTGGCCGACTGGAACACAATGATGGCGCTGCGAGCTTCCAGATAGCGTTGGCGGTAAAACTTGGCCCGCAAGTTCTTCTGGATCAGGATGGCGCAGTCATTCAATCGACTTGTCCGGAGGTTCTCGAGGAAGGCAAGCATGCCGGCGCGGAAGAAAATTTTAGTCAGGCCAAGCTGGTACTTGTCCATACCCTTGCCCGAGCTCGTGCCGAGTGCCTTGGTCAGGATGGCGTTGGCCATGTCCCGGATTTCCGACGTCCATTGATCAGAATGCACGAGCATGTAGTAACGCAGCGCAAACTCCTCGTACGTCCAACGTGTCGGATAGCCTGCGCAACTAATGCGAACGGTTTCCAGGACACCACACGCTCGGAGCTGGCTGAGGACCATTGGCCCCTCAAACTTCCATGATTCCTTTGCTTCGTTCGGCTTGATACAGCGGATGTAGTGGACGTCGGTGTTGTTAATGGTATTCATGAGCTCGATCAGTGACGAGCGGAAAATTCCACCCAACGTCGGTTTCCTGTTGACGGCCACGCCAATCTTCCGCCCGGCAGCAGGCTTTACGGCGTTGGAGGAGGCAGAAGCTACGTCCTTTTCGCGGACAGCAGAAGCAGCATCAAGAACCTGGCGGAGGAATTGGTTGGACGTAGCCCGGAGGACCTCCATATGTTCGTCAGGAACTGTATCCCGGTTCTTCTCAATGAAGCCTTCAGACTCATACGTGACGTCTACGGCATAGTGGCAGATGGTGAATGCTGACTTGCCGAAGCGCGGCTTCTTGTAAAACTGGTGCTTGTCGGCAGCGTAATGGTGATGGAGTTTGGTGACAAACTGCTCGTCAGAGCCCATAGGGAGACGGGATTCTTCGTCCAAAAGACCCAGAACACCCATCTTGCCCTCAATGAGGTCGATGCAGGGTTGATTGTCCGAAAAGTCGATGAAAGTCCAGTCGATTTCCTCCCTCAAGTATTCTTCTTGCTCTAGCTTGAAGACATGCTGGTTGAACTCTTGCTGCAGCTTTTCGTTGGCATAGTTGATACAAAATTGCTCGAAAGAGTTCTTTGCGAAGTGCTCGAAGCCGTAGATATCAAGCACACCGATGAAAGAAGTTACACGACTCAGAACCTCGTCAGTTGCCAGACCCATGTTGACAATCTCAACAAGCCAGTCAAAAAGACTTGAATAGATGAATTTGGCGACGGAGTCGCGAACGACAATTGCTTGGGCTTGGGTCAGGTTTGAAGTGATCTTCTCCCCTCGCGTCACCAACTGTTTTTTCACGATCCATCGGGCGAACTGCTCCCCGTTGACTCCCAATATACTGCAGGCTCGATCGAGAGACGGCTCACTCGGGGCCAACACGCTGTCGTTACGCGATGCGCCAATCTTAACGTTGCCAAGATGTAGCAGGCCGGCAAGTAGCTTGAAGATTTCCGACTGTTGCGCGTCCGTAACGCCGATGGTTTTCAGGGAGCTTTTGGTCGCTTCGAATTCGGCCTTGTCGTCGACTCCATCAATAGTCGGGCAGTTACCCTGGTTCAGGTAGTCGAACTGCTCAATCGGAAGAATGTTGAGCTCTTCGCGCTCCCTGTCGGAAGCGCCGGCGACGAGCTGGTAGAAAATGTGGTAATTTCTTTCCTTAAGAGGCTGGAAAACGAGCCTTGACCTTTCAAGCAGATATGTACGGATCTTGGCGCCAATGATATTCGTCTTGTCATCAAACATGATCTCGATGTATTTGCCAAATCGAGATGAGTTGTCATTTCTTGTCGTTTTCGCGTTTCCAAATGCCTCCATGATGGGGTTCGTGGCAAGAATTTGCTCCTCTGTTTCGCTCATCGCCTCGGCGCCCTTCTTGGACCGGGCGCCAGGGTTGTCGGGGGCCTCCCTCGTGGCAAAGTACCGCATGATGTACTTGGCGCTGACAGTTTTACCAGCACCAGACTCACCCGAAACTACGATGGTCTGGTTTTTGGAGCTTCTCAGCATGTCCCTAGTTTTGTCAGCCTCGGTATGCCCTGCGCTCAACCAGCCTGACGCCGGTGTTCTTGTTTGTCGACATGGTCGCTTACATGAAAGCCTCTTCGGCAATGGCGAACAAATGGGGTGCCTGCGTCGCCCTCTGTTTGCCAGCATAAACCTGAACCATTCCCGGAACATAAAGCGAATCCACCCTGGCAAACGGGTTTGTTGCTATCAGAACAATGCCACTGTACGTGTAGATCTCTTTCTGAGCGTATCGAAGACGAATTGCCTGGAGGACTTAAGGCAGACCATTAGCAAAAGAAGCAAGGCGGGCTGTTTCTGGCGAGGTAGAGGTGTATTTACCGGCAGGTTCGTTGAGATGGGACAGATTTGTCAAGTCATCACTTGCTTCGAGCATGGTCGGGTTCATCAAGGGGGGTAAAGATGAATCGCCGTTCTGCAGGGCTTCGACGGAGACTTCGATTTCTTTTGTCTGTATCATGGAGTGATTAGCATCAAAACCATATCGTGCAGTGACCGACAGTCCGAATTGTGCAAAAGGCACTGCAATGAATGCTAAACCTACCTCGCCATTATCGAGCTGGAAGACAAGCTTCGCTTTGGGACCATCAATGGTCTTGCTGGCAACCTCTGAGGCCACCCAGCCCTCGGTGACATCGGGCTGCCACGCCCTCGTACCGACATCGTAGTTCTGAGCCATGGCGAACTGTCGACAAAGGGAGATCGTGATCTAGAAAGGCGTCGTCGGTGCTGATGCGAAAAGAAGCGGTCGGTGTCGGGGCCAGAAGCAAGCGAAAGGGGGCGTGGCTCGCTGCTGGGAGAGATTCATCGGCAGGCCTGAGACAGAAGGTAGTGGCCGGCTTCCTAGGGTGTGAATCGTGAATGATGTGTGTGATTCCGTAGACAGTCTTGTTGCCTCGTCTGCCAGACAGAGGCATGAAGAAGTCGAATATGTGTCTGGAGCTGTTGCAGCAGGGTCGGATGGGTGGACTACTTTTTGAATCCCAGGCCAGGAGACAGGGGGGGTTCGATCAGAAGTAGAACGCCCCGAGCGCATTGGCACCAGTCACAGCACTCACTGTATGGCGCAGCTGGACGTTGGCGTTGGGGGTGGCTCCCTACTTTTCTGACAGGCACATGCTGGTAGCTTCCACAGTGCACCAGGGGGTCAAGCACTTTCTCTCGGACTCTCAAGAAGATCATTTACAACGCATATCTGGGTAACATAGCACCGTGAATATAGATACCCGAAGCGCACTGTGTGTACTGTTTGTGCACGGAGTTCATACACAATCTACTGCATTGGTATGCAGGTGGCAGGTCCAGCTATGTCTCCAACCCCCCCCACCTCCCCCCCCCCCCTTTTTTTTTCTTTCCCTTCATTTGATCCATGCATCAGGCCGAGTGGAGTGCTGTCACCGCTTCATGTCCGCCGCACGTCCAGCCAACCCAGTTGCCATAACCTATGACTTCCTGACCTGCACCGTTGGAGGTCCAGTATTGTGGATGGATTTCGAGGGAGGTAGGTGCTCTTCAGCAGAGGAGGCTGGCGGTGGGCACGTCCTGCAATTCCGGTACATGCAAGTCGTTTCCTTTGATAGGCCTCATGAGTGTAATGAGCATCATGCGTGTCCATGCCAATCATGTGTCCCGTGGGATTCAAGCGATCTTGTTCAAGCCCTTCAGGATAACAATTTATTTATCAATCAAGGCCTGTTCCTCTTCCTTTCACCCATCCCGCAGTACGCCCTTGGCCAGTGCTTAGTGTCGTCATGCCCTCGCTGTTAGTTGAAGTCCAGCATCCAGCAGACGTGTCACACCCAGAAACATCTCTCAGTTTCCATTCCCGGTTGAAAGTCAGGTCTGTCCGTTGAATAAAACCCAATCTGCATGTTGAAACATTCAAGGTCGTCGACGCTTGACAACCCCTCAAAAGCCTGGTTTCACAGTCGTAGCCGTCTAGTAAAGAACCCTGGTCAAGATGCGAGCTGTAGGTGCTGACTGTCAGTGATCGAGAACACGGTTCTGCTATCTGGAGAGAAGACTCACAGCTCAACGAGTCCAGACCGTCAGAAATCTCCTTGATATCGCTGGCCTTGACGCTGCTGACGTCCGCCATGAGGTAGGCGATCTGAAGAAGGGTCAATCAATGCTTTGAGGTGGTTCGCATTGCGCACTTACATCGCCCCTGCTGTCGGTAATCTGCTTGTCAACGTTGTGGTTTCCAAGGATTTCGTTGACTGAGATGTTTGTAAGCACTTGTACAGCCCATGTATGCGTAGTCCGGTCCGTACCTTTTCGCAGAACACCTGGAACATTTTGATGGATGTAGATGACCTGCAACGTTTGTTAGAGGAGGGGCTTCTCCGCGCGTATGTGTCGCTCGTCATGTTGTTGACAGCCGGGAACGAGATGACGCGGAGAGTGACTTACACGAGCATGGTCGGGCTCATCTAGTGTGAGGGATCTGAGGTTCACTTCAGGTAGGTTGACACTTCCAAGTGTGATTCCCTGGTTGATGTACCTAACCAACGCATCCGCAACTACAAACGGTCAGTCGGTGATGGGGTGTAAGTCGCGTCAAACAAATAACGAGACTTGCCTTCGACACCGATCGCCCTCTGAGCCTCCTCGGTGCTGCCGCCAATATGCGGCGTCAGAATTATGTTGTTCAATGAACGGATGTCGTCGCCCCAGGTATTGAGATTGGCATTGAAGTATTCGCCATTGGCCGCAGGCTCATTGGGGTACACATCCAATGCAGCGCCGGCAATTTTCCCGGTGCGCATCGCGTTGACCAGCGCGGGAATATCCACAACGCTGCCACGGCTAGCATTGATCAAGTACGCACCCGTCTTCATCTTCTCCAGCTGGTGGGTTGAGATCAAGTTCTTCGTTTCAGGAAGCTCAGGTACGTGCAAAGTCACAAAATCGGCTTCCTCCAGGAGGGCGTCGAGAGTTGGGACCTGTCTGGAAGTACCCATGGCCATAAGGCTTACAACGTCGTAGTAAATGACTGTCATGCCCATGGCCTCGGCGAGGACGGACAATTGTGAGCCAATGTGGCCGTAGCCGACAATGCCTTGACACAGAGAATATGAGTACGGGCACCGGCATGGGAAGGGGGCAGAGGACTCCTTGTGATAACTTACCAAGTGTCTTGCCGCGAATCTCCCAGCATTTCGCGCTCACCTTGTTCCAGAAACCGCGGTGCATCTCGTTTGAGCGGTCGCCCAATTGGCGAGCAAGGGTGATGATTTCTGCAATGACCAACTCGGCAACACTTCGAGAGTTGGCGAACGGAGAGTTGAAGACAGCAATGCCATGTTTCGCAGCGAAGTCCAGGTCCACCTGGTTAGTGCCGATGCAGAAGCAACCGATGACGAGAAGATGCTTCGCCTCACGCAACACCTTTTCGGTCAACTTTGTCTTGGACCGGATACCGATCACATGAACTTCCCTGATCATAGATTAAAACGCGTACCATCGTAATGTGGCGGATGCAGTAAGCAAGTGAAACCACAATGGCTTACCGAATCTTCTCGATGAGTTGATCCTCAGGCAGGGAGGTCTTGAGAGCCTCGACTTGATAACCTTGACCCCTGAGAATGTCTTGTCCGGTCTGATTGACGTTTTCCAGCAGCAGGATCTTGATGTCCTGAGTCTCAAAGGGCTTCAAGTGCTTAGGCGCAGGCCGGCGCGCCAAGCCTTGGCCGCCGAAGCTGGAGGGAGGGGAGTGGAAGGTAGCGAGTGGTGAGGTAGACAGCCCCTGGCTATGAGAAACTCGGCGAGCAATGGGGAGAGACCCGGCGATGTCCTGAGCTGAGGCCATGGCGGCTGCTGTCGGAGGAGCTGAGCGAGACTTGTCGAAATGGAGATCTCGAACAACGAACGTCTTTCGAGGAAGCCAACACAAGAGCTGGTCTAGGCAGCGAATGTATGTCTACACAAAGCCACTGCAGATGTGGACTGTCGTGCGCTGAGTTGGCTGTTAGGCGGCGTACGAGTGCTTAAGATGAATAATTGAGCAGATGAGCGCAAAGTATGAGATGGTGACCTCATCAACGTAATGGGGAAGATGACAGTTGATACTTGTAGTATTGACACATCAACCCGTGGTGGACTACCTATGATTGACTCACCTTCTTAGGCTGAAAAAAGTTTTGCCAGGAGCTCCGGCTTAGGATGGGCACACCTTGTAAGGGAGTACTGTCATCCGCTGGCGGGCAGAAAGGCAGGGCAGGTCCGCATGCTGGAAAATGGCGCGAATGAAAGCAAGTACGCAACGGAGCCAGCGCGTGGGTCGTCCAATTCGTCCAGCTGCCATTTGCGAGTCGATGGGGAGAGGTGCCAATTGGAATGACGGAGGACCCGAGCCTGTACCCTAGGTATTCTTTGGTACCGAGTACTTCGACTTTTGGCTTGATGCACTGCGGGCTTCCATGTACCATCGACTGTCGCCACGTGCCGGGAGTCGCTGGTGCCCCGGGGTCGGAGGAGTGACGAGGCATAATGGCACAAGGCGGGGAGGCTTGAGACCGCTTCCGGGTGACGTGCTTCAAGTTTCATCCCTGGCTAGACCTGACTGCCTCCGACAAAGACTCACAGCCCCGTTGTCATCACTGTGCTAGAAGTCCCGGAGTTGCTATTTGTGTCAGACCCCGAAGCAGGGAATTGCGACTGACAGCCCAGTAAAAACACGAATTTCCGGGAGCCTCATTCCCCGAGCATATTCTCAATCACCCCTCCCCCACCACACAAGTGAGGGGCTGCAGCCGATTACGGCTATTACACACTTCTAGAGGCCTATTGTTAGGCGACGGATTACATATGCAAACCCACCTAGATCCCCAAGCCCAGCTGCTAGAGGTGACAGTTAGGGTGCATATGGCGATGACTCTTGTCAGCAAGCCTGACCACGTCTGCATGCAAGAGAGCAGTTCGCCTCTCAGTATATTAAATGCTTCCAAGAGCACATGAGCTTTTCTACTGCAGTGTTTGCGCAACTCCACCCCGGACAAGGAAAAAGAAAAAACTGTGTGCAGCAGTGCAAACTTCAAAACGAACCACAGATGTACCTGTAGTCCAGTTGTGCCAATCCACGTTTGTGGTACAAGACGCACCTGAGACTCAAACTTCAATTACCGTCTATCGCGTCGAAGTAAAGCCAGGCTGACAAGCAAACATCCGATTTTGTCAGGCCATCTGCCATCCCACCGCCCGGCCGGTGTTTCCTGCTGTGCATGTTGCGTGCGCACTCGATGGAGTGAAATGTTTGCGATCCACTACGAACAGACTCGAGTCGAATCTGGGAAATGCAGGCAATGAGCTACTTCCTATGCCACTAGGTGTGGCACAGTGGAGGGTTCGATGAATTTAGCTTTGCTTGCACTCAGCTGCCTCCTGTTTCGGCTTGCCAGTGTCGTCCTGTTTTCATTGTTGGTCAGTTTCTCGGTAATGTGAGCAGAGGATTTAGGTGCACGTACATCCTCCTCCGACTCCTCATCGTCGTCGCGATCCTCACTGAGATCGTCGTCTTCATCGTCATCCTCGTCATCGTACTCGCCCTCCAGCTCATCGTCATCCAGCTCCTCGAAAGCAAGTGCCTCGCCAGTAAACCAATCGATGGCGCGAGGGATAAGCTTCTCCTTGATGTCCTCTCCAAGCTGGTAATCAAGTTCGAGACGCTCCTCAATGTCCGAGGCGGCGTCGTCTTGGTCTTCGGTAGGAGCCAAAGGGGGGGTGAAGAAGTTGAAGAACGACTCGGTTGGGACAGTCTTCTTGACGATGCGTGTTTGCTTTGTGTCTATCAATGTGTCAGCGGGGATAGGCACGAGCTAGTTCACTAGAGGCGCCTTACTCTTGTTTCTCTGCTTCTTGCTTTCAACGCGAACTGTGAGATCTTGACTCTCCTTCCAATTGATCTTGTCGCCTTCAGCATGATCGTAGATGAAGTCGCCCCCATACCCGCTCTCGTTTTGGTAGTAGTAGGTCTTCGTGATGGTCTTGTTAGTGAAGTAGTTGTTCTCCGCAAATTCGAAAATGAGACGGAATCCGGGCTTGTCAAGGTACTCCATGCGAATGTCGATAAGATGCTTCAGGGCACCCTCATCTCGGTCCGTAATCATTTCCGCCAGAGAGATCTGGTTCTTCATGGCCGACAGCCAGAACTCGGGAATGCCAGCAACGTCAGATGCTTGGCCCTCCGAACCCTTCTCCTCCGTCTCCGACTTGACCGACTCCTCACCTTCCGCAGGGGGCTCCTCGCCTGCCTTGACCTCGCTGTCGCTGGGCTCAGCGGCGCCATTGACAATACCAGCACGCTTCTCGTACAAGGGAGTGAACTTGGCAAAGTACTTCTTCTCCAATTGAAGAACCTCCTCCTGGAACTCGGCCTCTAGCTTAGAGTGTTCCTTCTGGATACCCTTCAGCCCGGCGACTCGGCGGCGGACCTGGGGGGGGAGTGACTCGACGTAGCCGGACGAGCGGCCAACGAGGGAGCCAAGGCGGCCCTGAATCATTTGAACAAGCTGTGGGTTTTGGGCGAAAATAGAAGCAGCGGCCGCGCGATCGAAGTCCTCTATTTGGCATAGGTATTAGTATCAGCCGAGTTGGAGGGAGTGATCGAGCGATAAGTGGGGGGCTCAGGCGGGGGCGGTCAGTCATCGAGCTTACCTTCCTTAATGCTCGCAACGCCAGGCTGCTGGGCGTGGGAGGAGATAGGCGCATTGTTTGCGGGAGTGTTCTGAGGGGTGCTATGAATGCTGATAGTCAGACATGGGTGCGTTGCGATGACGATGGGGGCTTTTCATGCTGGGCTTTGCGAGGTTGCCACCTAGAAGAGGGGGGTTGGACTCACGGGGCCGTAGGCATGTCAGGTCGCTTGTTCCGAATAGGCTCCGCCATGGTGTTCGATGCGACTTGCTGTCGTAGGCTTCTGTGTGCGGATAGTTGAAAGATGGAAGCGAATGGCTGTACTGAAGCCGCGATAATCCGCAGCGTGATTGCAGATGTCTTGACTGAAACCTGTGATGGAGTTCTATTGAAGATGCAGTGGTGTGGTGCAGCGGTGCGGTGCAGTTTTCCAACTTGTGGTGGGGGAACAGGGATAAAAAAAAATGGCCCAGGTTCACTCAACCCCCCCTCGACACGCCAGTAGAGTTGTTGAGTTGGGGGCCCCTTCGGAAGGGATTGGCTAGGCTCAGTCTGCAATTAGCGCCCCTATAAGGTGGTATCACCAGAGTCTCGCATAGATACATTATGCCCGCAGCCTGAAAAGCGCTTGCCACAGAGAAGAATGTTGCTTGATTGCGACTGATGGGTCACAACAGATAGCAGAGATGATAAGCTTCCATTGTGGACCCTGCCAAGCAAGATATTGACAGTAACCCGCTGTGGTGACTTCATCCTCCAGGAACTCGTTCGTTAATTCTGCTAATCCTAATCAACCAACGGTTGTTCGTGCCGAATCCTGCAGTCGACGATAGCGAATCTTCTCGATACCCTCATTTCTCCGAAACCACACCTTCAAATCACAGCAAGTCTGTCTGGATTTTGCGGGCCTGAGATTAAGCTAGACAGTGGTCGGGGAAGAAGTTGCGCAATCCCAGGCTGTCACGATGAATGCGCATTTCACATGACGTCTATTTGAGCGAAGCGCACCATGGACGAAACAGATCCGATGAACCCTTCGGGGCTCGAGAACGGTCACTCGAGATCAGGCAACCGCGTGTTGTATCGCATGAACTCAAACCAAAGCAACACGAGTATATTCGAGAACGTAGAAATGGCACATGATGAGGTTGGCCCTCCCTTAACCTAGGATACAGCTTGGTGCGCACGTACGAGGAAAATTTCTGACGTGATGGCATAAACAGCTCTACTCAGGTCCTATTGCGGAAAGTCTTCCAACAAGTGTGTCCGCATTCTCCCATCGACGACCTCGAGCAGACTCGACAGCGAGCTTCACATATTATCATGATGATTTAGAAGAGTCGCAAAACGAACTCACCTACGGAAACGACGGCTATGAGGATGCGATCTCTGACGACATTGGCGACTTGGCATTCGGTGTTGATGATGATGATTCATCCGACATCGAGAGCGGAAGGCAGAGTGGGCACTTCGCACTTCGAAGAAGATCTTCAACACAATCGCGTTCGTCCGTTCATGATCGACTTCTTCGCACCGAAAGCACTCGAACCACCGAAAGTCAATATACCCATGGACGACAAAGTCAGAAAGTTTACATGGTCAACGAAGATCTGACCATTGTGGTCGCTGGCTTCCGCACAAGTCCTATCGGATTAGCACTTTACATTCTCTTGAGCGTTTCTTCGCTGGGGCTCGCATGGCTGCTTCTTCGCTGGTTGCCACGATGGCATGTCAAGCTCCTCGGCCGCCCAAGTGCTTTGAGCGAATGTGATTGGGTTGTCATTGAGGTGAGAGGATTTTTTCTACTGGGTCAACCGCTGCAAGAACGCTGACACACCCAGAACCAATGGGGAGAGCTTTCTATCATGAAAGTTGAGAAAAAGCTGTATGGTCGGCCGATGTCGACTATCTTTGGTTCCTCAGAAAAGATTCCCCTGCTAGACGAAGAGCATGATCCAATCGTTACTGAGCTGCGCATGCTCAACTACCGATACGTCCGTCTCTACTTTAACCAGCAGACGGATCGTTTTATTCTTTTCAGCGGTTGGAAGGACCCTAACTGGGCTGATATCAAAAGCGTCCGCTTGGGACTGGACAGTGACGAAAAGCATGTCCGCGAGGTTGTGTTCGGTAACAACGACATCGACATAGAACAAAAATCAATCCCGCGGCTATTAGTCGACGAAGTATGGCCCATCTCCCAGTGATGTTCATTTCCCTATGTAGAAAACTGACAGTTGTAGGTATTCCATCCTTTCTACGTTTTTCAGATTGCCAGCCTCATATTGTGGTCACTGGATGAGTATTACTACTATGCGATTGCAATCTTCCTCATGTCGTTTGGGAGCATCACCTCTACCCTAATCGAAACCCGAGCTGTATGTCATTCGGGCTTCCCCCGCACTGAGTAAGACTGACCACGTCCAAAGACAATGAAGCGGCTGCGAGAGATCTCACGTTTTGAGTGTGATGTGCGCGTGCTTCGCAACGGTTTTTGTAAGTCCTGAGCTCACGTAAGCATAGTGACAGTCTTTAACGTATGAAAAGGGCGGTACGTGTCATCCAACGAGCTCGTGCCTGGCGACATCTATGAAGCCAGTGACCCGAATTTGGCGCAATTTCCGAGCGACGGGCTTCTTCTCAGCGGCGACTGTATAGTAAACGAAAGCATGCTCACTGGTATGTTCACAATACTGCTTGCCGGCCCTCCGCAAACTGAATCTAATCATACTCATCAGGTGAATCGGTGCCGGTCTCCAAAACACCTGCCACTGAGGAAGCCCTTCAGCAGATGGATTTAGGCGCACCGACAGTCTTACCAGAAATCGCAAGGCATTTCTTGTTCTGCGGCACAAAGATCATCCGGGCACGCCGCCCACAAGATGATCAAGGCGGTGATGGCGTTGCACTTGCTCTCGTGGTTCGGACAGGGTTCAGCACCACGAAAGGCTCATTGGTCCGATCGATGCTTTTCCCAAAGACTTCCGGCTTTAAGTTTTACCGAGACTCCTTCCGTTACGTTGGAGTCATGGCCATGGTCGCTATGCTTGGTTTTGTGGTCTCGTTGATTAATTTCATCCGTCTGGACTTGGCTTGGCATCTGATCATAGTCCGAGCCTTAGGTGAGTGCTTGTGCCCTATGCCTGAGCATTCCTGACTGAGTCGTTTTTGCAGATGTCATCACACAGCGCGTGCCTCCAGCTCTTCCAGCGCCCTGA